GGGGTTCTAGGTTATCTCCATGAATAGTCCTTGGTTGGAGTATGAGTCTCTGGGAAGTTCCCTGTGTTCAAGTTTTCTGGTTCTGTTGCTCTCCTTGTGTGGTTCCCATCCTCTCCAGCTCTTACTATTTCCCACTTCTTACATAAGATTCCATGCACTCTGCCCAACAATCAGCGTCTGCTTTGATTGTCTGCAGGGCAGAGGCTTTCAGAGGCCCTCTGTAGCAGGCTCCTAGGTTGTTTCCTGTTTTCTTCATCTTCTGATGTCCAGCCTCTTTGCATTTCAGGATGGGGATTAAGCATTTTAGTCAGGGTCCTCTCTCTTGCTTAGTTTCTTTAGATGTACAGTTTTTAGTAGGTGTATACTATGTTATGTCTATATGAGTGACATAACATAGTATATATAAAGAAATGTTCAACGTCATTAGCCATCAGGGAAATGCAAATCAAAACAACCCTGAGATTTCACCTTACACCCATCAGAATGGCCAAGATGAAAAACTCAAGTGACAACACATGCTGGAGAGGTGTGGAGAAAGGGGAACCCTCCTCCACTGCTGGTGGGAATGTAAACTTGTACAACCACTCTGGAAAGCAATCTGGCGCTTTCTCAGACAACTAGGAATAGTGCTTCCTCAAGATCCAGCCATGCCACTCCTAGGCATATATCCAAAAGAGGCTCAAGTACACAAAAAGGACATTTGCTCAACCATGTTTGTAGCAGCTTTATTTGTAATAGCCAGAAGCTGGAAACAGCCCAGATGCCCCTCAACTGAAGAATGGATGCAGAAATTGTGGTACATCTACACAATGGAGTATTACTCAGCAATGAAAAATAAGGAAATCATGAAATTTGTAGGTAAATGGTGGGACCTAGAAAGGATCATCCTGAGTGAGCTGTCCCAGAAGCAGAAAGACACACACGGTATATACCAAGTTCACATTTTTAAAAAAAGTTTTATTTATGTATCTTGGGGGATGACTAAGGCCAGAGGGAGCTTTGCATGCCCTGGAGCTAGAGTTACAGGTAGCTGTGACTCCCTGTCATGAGTTCTGGGTTCTGAACTCAGGTTCTCTTAACAGCTGACCCATCTATCTGACCCCATATACATGCATACATGCATAGATACATTCATACAAACAAACATAAAACACTAAACTAAAAATAGAAATGCATCCAACCCGGAAATCCCATTCCTGAGTATATACAGGGTTTACCAGTGGCACATTTTCCACCACTCCTTCACTTAGCTATGAGACCGTATCTGGTAAAGTGTGTCTCAGATCTGCCCTTCCTACTCTTTATTTTCATGGGGTCTTAGTCCTACAACCCACTTTATGGAAGACTCCAAACCCAGTTCAGAAATGGGTGCATGACTAAAAACAAACATAGAAATCAGGTCCAGGAATTTTCCTGGAACTATTATGTACAGTGTAAGCTTGGCAGGCATCTTGCCACCAAGGAGGTGGTGGCTTCCTGACAATGAGGCCAACCTGAAGGAGGAGGAGGAGGAGGAGGAGGAGGAGGAGGAAGAAGAAGAAGAAGAAGAAGAAGAAGAAGAAGAAGAAGAAGAAGAAGAAGAAGAAGAAGAAGAAGAAGAAGA